GTATCGTTTTTTTGTACTCTGTATCGGCAAGTACTCAGATCCAAGTATCGGTATCGTATCGGTTTGAAAAAATTGGTATCGTTGCATCCCTAGTCAGGACCTATTGTTGCTGTGGTTCTGTTGAACTGTGACTGATTCAGGACGCACCGAGACTGGATTACAATCTAGAGTTAGCATTAGCAGCGAATTAGCCGCTAGCGTGGAGCTACGTGAGCTGTGCTGACAACGACTCACACAATCATGACACCTTGGCTCGCACTGTAACGAGCTCTAAACACGCCACCACTGTTGGATTTATAGCAAGTGATCTGCTCTGTTAGACAAGACGAAAGTCAACTCTGTGATTACGCCATTATTGGAGCTTGTCCCTTTAGGGTTGGGGGGTGAGGACCTCCAGGGCTGGAGGGCCGGTGTCCTGCAGGGTTTAGATCTCACGCTGGGTCAACACACCTGAATCACATGATGAGTTCATTAGCAGGCCTCTGGAGAACTTCAGGACATGTTGAGGAGGTCATTTAGCCGTTTAAACCAGCTGTTGGATCAAGGACATGTTAAACCTGCAGAACACCGGCCCTCCAGGCCTGGAGTTGCCCACATCTGCTTTAGGGGATGCTAGAAAGTTGTCAGTATGTGTTAGCATCACTGAGCACAAGTCTCTCTCACTGTCTGTTGAGCTTTTTTAAGCCCACTCAGTAACGGACATGTCTGAGACCTCGAAGCAGTGCTTGGTATGAGCATCATTGTCCAAAGGTTTGAAACAAAAAGCAGCTGTTACGGTTTCTCTTATCATTTACTCCCCTTGTGCCAGGAGAACGTTTGGCTTCTCCAGCTCTTCACTGTTTCTGAATGAGAAAAATAAAATTCAATCACAATGGATGAAACTGAATCTCATATACAAGGCTCTCCACCATCACGTGAACCTCAGCTTTATCGGCCGTCGACGAGGCGTTTAGCATTTACACGAGCGCACCCCTGCTGAACGTGACCCGTGTTGTATTTCAGCTTTTGCTTACACAAAACCACAAACAACAGGCCAATGACGTACATACATTATCACTAGCACACCGACTGTATTAACCTGTAAGTATATCACATCTTTTCAATGATTGAAGGAAAGCAGCGCTGAATCAAGAGCTGAAGGAAAACTGAAGTCATCACAGCAAATTTACATGTCAAACCAATCCAGCTCTTGAAAACAGAGCACACTCAGTCAAATGTACATAAACCTCGTTCGCCTGTACAGTATTTACACATGTGCAAAGGAAATGAACATCAAAAATCGAAGGTGAATAACCCAGACCAAGCATTAGTTTGGCAAACGCCTCTCGACCAGAAACGACTCCCTAAACATCCACATGAGAGATTTGAGTCCCAACGCAGGCAAAGGAAACGTCGCCCGAGTACTGTAATACTGATTCTGTGGTATTGCTGGTTGTACCAAAAGCACAGCAGGCTCACGAGACGCTGTGCACCACATACTCTGCCAATGAGGTGTTTGAGTGCAATATCAGTGAGGTCACTCTAGTGTCGAAATGACGGCAAGGCCGAGGTCATCCGCACGATGCCAGTGAATAAAGCTATCAGAGCTAAAAACATGGGGGAATGAATGGGGGAGCTGTGAGCTAACAAAGACATTTATGTTTGTGAGTTTTTACTGTTTTCTTTTAAAATATGTCAAAGTACACACATTATGTATAACCTGAAAGGCAAAAGGGGTCCCAGGCATGATCCTGTGCCGAGCGCTGCAGCTTAATAGGCTTAGATTAGCCTGTCAGGAGCATGAAGAGCAGGATTACTGTGAGAGCCAGAGGACAGGAGGCAGTGACACAGTGAGAGCAGATCAGGTTAAACATACAAAACACAAGAGCTTTACACGTCAAAGAGAACAGAGAAGATGCTCTGGCTCACGGAGGATGGCGTGTGCTGATGCTCTTGTCTTTCCTGAAGATGAGCTGCAGCGTGCGTAACTAACAACAGCCGGGAAAACAAATACCTGCGAGGTTATCAGCCTGCAGCACACACTGCAGGAGGTCGTCACGAACCATGTTAACGTGCTTTGCTCCATTCGTCCCTTTTACACATCAGGTGTGAACATGTGTGAACACTTGTGTCACCGCTCTTAAACAGCTGTAACTGAACATTATTGATTTTTCTACCCAACACAGAGTCTGACCACACAGTTCAGAGTCCTGTCTTTGTGAAGGATCATTCAGATTTATTATTCCTACTGGGTATGATAGCACTATGCACACTGAACAATGATCATATTAAAGAACAACAGTAATCACTCTCATTAGTGATGTCCCAATAATCCAACTCCTCTGGAAGTAGGGCTGCCACAAACCATTATTTTGATAGTCGACTAATCAGATCATCATCCATTGGATGTAAAACTACAGCTTATTGCACCAGCAGCATCTGCTCTTATATAACTATCATTAGCTTACAGCTTTAAGTGTTTAA